GTTAAGCGTCTCCATATGCTTCTCGGCTGCCTCTTCACTCTGCTATATGTCAATACATCGTTTCAATGTCAGCTTTGGAATTTTTAGGAGGTGCTGTACCACAGCAGAATCCCGTAAACCAACGACAATTCGGTCCCTCTCTCTTCTAGACAAACAGAAACTGCACGAACGAGCCAGTGATTTTAGGGGTAGAACGAATGCATTGAGGGACTCACCATGCTGCTGCCTCCTCTGATAAAAATGTATCGTTCATAAGTCTCGTTGGATTTGCCAAAACAGTACCGCTCCATTTTCGCCATCACCACCTGCCAATCTGCACGGTTCTCATCCGGACTGTACGTGAATCCATTTATGATACGCAGAGCAGCCGAACCAATGGTGTGACGGAACAAAGCTAACTTTACGGAACTGGATTCGCGGTCCATCTCTGTCAGTGTAAGAAAGTCTGCATACTGTGCTCGCCACAGTCTCCAGTTTTCCGCCAATCTCCCCGTTTCCTCCATAACCAGATAAGCCGGCGGCTGGATCGGCAGTAGGCTACTCGGTCTCTCCAACATTAGGAATTTCCAATTAGTTTCCGCTGCTACCATGTCAAAAGTTGGTTCTTCAGGAAGTGTTCTCGATATATTTTTAGTGCATCGGACACTAATCACATTTGGAAAGGGAATCATAGGCGTTTATATTTAAACTTGAACCAATCAGATTGTTCGGCGGACAAAATTAAAGTCGTATACGGACCAATCACGAAAATACAATTGATGCACTAAAATAAACGATCAATTCAAACAACATTTTCCAACACACTCCTTCTTCCTCTAGTGGTTGAGGTGACCAAAATAATCGTTAGGTAATAAAGGCAAACTCGACACTTTTATTGATTTGTGTGTTCAAATCCTGTCACCATCGATCTTTCAGTTCTCATTTACTATTTGGCATTCTTTAGCTAACCGTGACCACTTTCTGAATATTGAATATACACTCGTTGCATATCAAATAAATAGGAGCGAAAGGACTTTTTTCATTATTAGTATCAATATTAGTCGTAGTGGTAGTGTTGTGAGGTACTGCTTAAATTGTGCGAGTTGCATGAAAAAGCAATCGGTGGATTCTCATGGCGTTCAAAACGGACCAGAACATCCGGGAGCAGACAAGTGGTTTTAATATTGTAACAACAGAAGACGTGAACAGACCGGTAAACCGCTTGATCACCGATCCAGTGTCTTTCGTGAAACCGGGACTTTACTGTTGTGAATAACAAGTTTCGTCCTGCGTAACCCGGTTTGACCCGGACCCATATCGCACTTCAACTAGACAGCTCCTTATTGGGGCACCACACTTAGTAGTAGTAGTAGTAGTAGTAGTAGTAATCATTTCAACACTCCAGAACTAAACCATGCTTCTGACCATTGTGCGTGGTTGTTCCTTGATATATCTCAATAATGGAAATTTTAAATCTGGTTCTTTTCCTAGTTAATATCGTATCGTGACTGGACAGGTCATGTAGTGGCCGAGGAAGAGCGAGACATTTACGTGGCCGAGATGGAGAATAAACATTCCGATGAAGGACATTTACTTCGAGTCGTGCTAGAACATGTGATATGTATACCGTCTGTCACGCCAACCGGACTTGAGGGTTGTGCTAACATTGATGTTTCCTATCGCATTGGCGTAGTGTACTTTAAACTCAAACGTCTGACTCACTGTTGGAACCCAAATGAATGGCAAGTGCTTGGTGAAAAACATTCGGCATCAACGAATCGTGCAATTGAACGTCTGTATGCGATCTGTCCCGGCGGACTGTACACTCGACCACTTCGAGGGAAAATGTCAATGGTACATACCGTCCAACACCGATCCAAAGTGGACCGACATGTTGAATGGAATATATACCGGGAACTGTTGTTGTCCATTCCTTTAATTATTGGTACAGCAAAGCCCGGAGTGCGTAGTGATTCTACACACATCATTTCGCATACACCAGGTAAGCCTTCACTCAGCTGCCAGGGATCAGTGTCCTTTATGAAACTGATGAACGAGAAAGCTTTGCTAAGCAGACCCATATAAATCAAAAAATGCCAATAAACTTTAGGATAAAAGCAAACGGCCAAGATACAAACACCCGTCAAAATTGACCGTCTCAATCCCGTATTTGAGCGAACCGTTGAAGGTGAAAGTTTTGTATGACAATATTACCAGTCTGATTTGCTATTTCATGTACTGAAGGTTCCATTTCTTTGACACGATTTTGTCTCAACCGTCAATTAAATTTCAAACGCCTCCATTGAGAACGGTGTCCGGTTGTCACTTAAGATTGAATGCCGCTAACTTTTAAATTAACCCAGTTTACAGATGCATACGATTGAAAATCAGGTACTCGTAAGCCTGGCAATGTTCATCATTCAATGATTTGCATCTGTACGTGCACATTGAACTGTAAATTTCATGCAACCAGTTCCCTTTAACATTCTCATGAGAGCAAGAAATATCATTGTCACAGGATGTGCTGAGTTCAACTAATTCGTGGTAATCTCATCAGCTGTTTACATACATTTGGATCACGTTTTGTACTAGAGTGACAGGTCCAAGACGGGTTCAAGCTTCCGTCCAGTTCAATCGCCAGACATACTGGATTCGTTTCATTAGACCCACAGAACACATTGAGAACTGGATTGCAAAGAATGTGACAAACTGAGGGATGCCTTTCGTGTCGTGATCCGCCAGAAAGGTAGCCGTCTACTACTGTTCGCTGAAGCGGCCCATTTTTCGAACATTATTTCAAACGGCTGATTGACTCGCATCCACTTTACAACCATGTGAAGGTGGCCACTAGGTTTGGCAACCTTCAGTCACCGTCCATACTGGATTTAGTGCTGACCAATGAGGAGCTG